ATTGATTTGCAGCCGCGCGGTTTATCACCTTGTTTATGAGCAATTACATTTATTATATTTCCAATGAATATCATCCGACACAAAACCACAAGCCGCCTTACTCACACTTGACTATGTTCACATCCTCGACAAAACGAATACACAACCCTCGTTAAGTCGAGCACAGCCATGTCGCTTAAGACGAGTACCTTCATGTACCCAAAGAGCCCGATACGTTGGTCTTAAAGCGCATTCGATAAATTGGTGTGCTCAATGTCCGCCCATGTCATAAACACTGTGGCATTAATATTTCCCGTTATGGGAATTAGCTGCCTCATCGGCTTACTGTATCGATCTGCCTTCTGGTTGACGATGCAGATCCTCGCACTATCATGCAGGCCTCCACGACAGCTGCAAGCCGCCATAGATGTTTTCCGTGGTTGCAGCAGTAATTGTGTCCCACCTGCGTCATATGTCCCCCAGATATGCATTCCCATATTCATTTGCAACTTGCTTTGAAGTGGTAAGATATAACCGATCCTCAGAGAGACAGTGTTTGTTAATATTCATACTACTATATACAGATTAAAATTTAAAAAATGCAGCAAAGGGCGTTTGGGTGATTGTGGCATCAGCTCATGGCCCTTGCCCCTTCATCAGCTCATACATTGACGGTTTCGCGTGGGAAGCGACTGGTTGCTCTTTCAGGCCAGCCGACTTCATCCAAGCGAAGGACTCTGCTGTTCCTCTCAACACATTGCACATCAACTCGATGTAGTGGTCGTTCAGAAAGCCTCTCCCTGAAGTATTTGTTTCGTCCAATCAAACTATTATGAAAGGACGGGTACAGCATGAGTATTTGAGTCTTTGACTATATTGCGAGCGTTCAGCTCTGAACTCCAGATTGTCTTAAGTCTACTTTTGTATTCCGTTCGAAGTTTGTCTTTGACATGGGCATTCTGGAGGTGGTCTCTAACCTGCATCCCCAAGTACGAATACGCCTGACCTGCCACGAGATGGCCAATAACCCCCCCCCCCCCCCCCCCCCCCCCCCCCCTAAAGTAAAGTGGCTGATCCTCTTACTTCTTCCTTGCCACGTTTCAAATGAAGAATGTTGCATTTGTCAAGCCGAAAGGACATGCAGATGTCATTAGAAAATGACTAGACAAGGAGAATGAGTTTTTACAGTATGAATTCTCCTTTGGCAATAAGTTCAAGGTCATCCATGCACAGGAGATGACTAAGGGGTGATGGGGATCTGTGCTGAGGGGGTTCCTGAATGATAACCTTCCGCTTTGCTAAACAAAAAGCTAAAAGAATTTAGTGACATATTCCTCTTTTAATAAAAATGGGTCCCGAAGCCATCAACTGACCCTGCGAATACATCTCAAGTTGCGTTTAACGGCAATACAGTAAGGACGTGAGTAAAACAAGTTAATACTTTCCAATAACGTTACGCAATAACACTTGCGAATGATGTCACTAGGAGACACAGCATGTTGTCTTATCTGTTTTCACAGTGGGGACAGGACCCGAAAACTTGTTAGACAGCACTCAATGGTACCCAGCCTTCTTAGGCGAAACAATTCGTTTTGTGTCTTTGGGTTTAAATCCCTAATCGTGATTCTCCCTATTTATGTTTAATTTAGATATGTCTGCACCATACTCCGTGCTCATGAATTCACAAAGTGGTGAAGGTATAACACCTGCGTCATGTAGCTGTAATACTACTCCAATCAGAGCTACACCACGTTCCCAAGCCCTTGTTGCTATTATTTTCACACTGTTCTTGGCCTTTGTGAAGCAGGCCACTGAAACGTCGCGTGTTATTTGACGTGGATCTTGTTACAGCGGGACGCATTGTTTCCCTGGCATCTATCCAAGGCAGGCTGAGGTCATATAGTACCAGGCACAAGTCCCCACACCTGATGGCAGTATACAATTATATCCCGTCATGCTAAGCACTGATACGCGTCCATTAATTCACCCGTTTTGTAACATCTTTACATGTGAAGCATTAAAACCTGTTTTACTTCAAGGAAACTTGTCAAGTGAAAAAATAATATATATTCATCACCAGAGAGAATTCTCGTCCTTTAAAGCAATTATACCTACGTTACAAAAGAGAAATATCAAGATGTGAATCAATTATATCTACATTACAAAAGAGAAATCGCGTCATGTGAAGCAATTATACCCACGTTACAACAGATAAACAGAGAAATCTAGCTATATGAAGTAATAATACCCACATTGCAACAGAGACTAATCACCATATTAAACAATGATACACCCAGAACAACACAGAAATCTTGACATGTAGAGCAATAATCCCTTCATTACAACACAGAAATATCAAGATGTGAATCAATTATACCTACATTACAAACGGGAATTAACATGTAAAGCATCTTTGCGCATAACAAGACAAGGTATAGTTTGTCACTGTAATAGAAATCTTTTTATTACACTACGTATAATACCATGACGAACAAGTTTGTTGTGTGAAGCAGTAGTGTATATAGTGCCCTGACAAGCAGGTTTGTTGTGTGAAGCAGTAGTGTATATAGTGCCCTGACAATCAGGTTTGTTGTATGAAGCAATAGTGTATATAGTGCCCTGACAATCAGGTTTGTTGTGTGAAGCAATAGTGTATATAGTGCCCTGACAAGCAGGTTTGTTGTGTGAAGCAGTAGTGTATATAGTGCCCTGACAAACAGGTTTGTTGTGTGAAGCAGTAGTGTATATAGTGCCCTGACAAGCAGGTTTGTTGTGTGAAGCAGTAGTGTATATAGTGCCCTGACAAACAGGTTTGTTGTGTGAAGCAGTAGTGTATATAGTGCCCTGACAAGCAGGTTTGTTGTGTGAAGCAGTAGTGTATATAGTGCCCTGAAAAACAGGATTGTTGTGTGAAGCAGTAGTGTATATAGTGCCCTGACAAGCAGGTTTGTTGTGTGAAGCAGTAGTGTATAGAGTGCCATGACAGGTAGGATTGTTGTGTGAAGCAGTAGTGTATATAATGCCATGACAGGCAGGTTTGTTGTGTGAAGCAGTAGTGTATATAGTGCCCTGACAGGCAGGTTTGTTGTATGAAGCAGTAGTGTATATAGTGCCATGACAGGTAGGATTGTTGTGTGAAGCAGTAGTGTATATAGTGCCATGACAGGTAGGATTGTTGTGTGAAGCAGTAGTGTATATAGTGCCATGACAGGTAGGATTGTTGTGGGAAGCAGTAGTGTATATAGTGCCATGACAGGTAGGATTGTTGTGGGAAGCAGTAGTGTATATAGTGCCATGACAGGTAGGATTGTTGTGTGAAGCAGTAGTGTATATAGTGCCATGACAGGTAGGATTGTTGTGTGAAGCAGTAGTGTATATAGTGCCCTGACAGGTATTATTGTTGTGGGAAGCAATAGTGTATATAGTGCCCTGACAGGTAGGATTGTTGTGTGAAGCAGTAGTGTATATAGTGCCATGACAGGTAGGATTGTTGTGTGAAGCAGTAGTGTATATAGTGCCATGACAGGTAGGATTGTTGTGTGAAGCAGTAGTGTATATAGTGCCATGACAGGTAGGATTGTTGTGTGAAGCAGTAGTGTATATAGTGCCATGACAGGTAGGATTGTTGTGTGAAGCAGTAGTGTATATAGTGCCATGACAGGTAGGATTGTTGTGTGAAGCAGTAGTGTATATAGTGCACTGACAGGTAGGATTGTTGTGTGAAGCAGTAGTGGATATAGTGCCATGACAGGTAGGATTGTTGTGTGAAGCAGTAGTGTATATAGTGCCATGACAGGTAGGATTGTTGTGTGAAGCAGTAGTGTATATAGTGCCCTGACAGGTAGGATTGTTGTGTGAAGCAATAGTGTATATAATGCCCTGACAGGTAGGATTGTTGTGGGAAGCAGTAGTGTATATAGTGCCCTGACAGGCAGGATTGTTGTGTGAAGCAGTAGTGTATATAGTGCCATGACAGGCAGGTTTGTTGTGTGAAGCAGTAGTGTATATAGTGCCATGACAGGCAGGATTGTTGTGTGAAGCAGTAGTGTATATAGTGCCATGACAGGCAGGTTTGTTGTGTGAAGCAGTAGTGTATATAGTGCCATGACAGGCAGGTTTGTTGTGTGAAGCAGTAGTGTATATAGTGCCATGACAGGCAGGTTTGTTGTGTGAAGCAGTAGTGTATATAGTGCCCTGACAAGCAGGTTTGTTGTGTGAAGCAGTAGTGTATATAGTGCCACGACCTTGAAGTAGCAGTATACTTTAGAAGCAACAGCAGGAGTAATAGCAGTAATGGTAGTTGTTGTGGTAGTGGTACATGTAGTAATCGTAGTAGCAGTTTTAGTAGTAAAAGTAGTGGTTGTTGTAGTAGTATAGGTGTAAAAGTAGTAGTAGAAATAGTACTAATGGATGCTCATAGCGCTACACTATTATTTCCCGGTCAATGGATCAGTGAGCACTCGATTTTCATTCTCAGCTCCATGGGGAGTATACAACCCAAGCTGCCTGTGTGGCGCTAGATGATTAATAGCCACATTACCATCTCATCCTACCGGGTACACACTCACTGCTGGGTGAACAGAAGCACATTTCGAAAAAAGTCACTTACCTAAGGAGACACCGCATGTGGCACATGTGCTTCAGTGTGGGCAGGACCGAAGCCCTAGAAACTCTCAGGAGTCAAGCTGCTTGACGTGCTCACCAATCCAACTACTCTCCGAGACCGACGTTGCTTAACTAACCTGTAATCTGTGTGCTGTGCACAGGACCAGGTGGTAGTAATGGTAGAGGTAATGGTAGCAGTACATGTAGTAGTCGTAGTAGTTGTAGTAGTGGTTGTAGTGATGTAGTAGTAGTAGTAGAAGTAGTAGTCGTAGTAGTAGCCGTAGTAGTAGTAGCAGTAGTGGTAGGAGTATTAGTAGTAGTAGCGGTAGAAGAAGTAGTAGTAGCGGTAGTAGAAGTAGTAGTAGCAGTAGTGGTAGGACTATTTGTATGAGTAGTAGTAGTTGTAGTAGCAGTGGTGGTATTGGTGGTAGCAGTCGGCGTGGAAGCAGTTGTAGTAGGAGAAATACTAATAGTAGCAGTTGTATCAGTAGCAGCAACAACAGTAATAGTAGTAGTAGTAGAAGTAGTAGTAGTTGTATTAGTCGTAGAAAGAGATGTTTGTAGACAAACACAATGTACTTTCTCCAACATCACCTGCGGTAGTAACGTTTAGAGGTGATAATCAACAGAATTACAACAAAGTACAATTCTTTAAAGACTGTATTTTCTTGATATGAAATAACATTCCTTTAACAAATACGACTTGATGCTGCCAAAGCGGATTACACAATACCACTCAAGACAAAATATAAAACCTGCACAAAAGTCACTGGATGGATTATATGTACAGCATAAACTCTCACACTTCCTGTAAAGGTATCGCTGGAATACTCCCGTGTGTATTGATCCTGGGTATCGTTTTCGATACAACCCCTTCCTCAGACGCAGGTGCGTCACTATCGGGCGTAAAACATTCATGTTGGTCTATGTTTGTACTCTCTGACAAGGGCGACACTTCACTACTAGAATTACCCTTGTAATATCTCACAGAATTGAATTTCATGTCAATAGAGGAATCATGGGCAGCTGGCTTTGAAGCCGCTGATAAATTCTCCTCGTCAACTCCATCATTTAATATTGACCCAAATGACCTTAAACTTCTGGGTGTCTGTCCAGGGGTGAAGGTCACTGACTCTTCATCCTCTTCTTCAGTTTCCGGTATAGACTCCTGCCTCTCTATGGTGAAGGCGGAGATACACCTCACAAACTCAGGTCTCCTGTGAGTGAAGAGCAAGGGCGTACCTTCCGGAACGATCGGCGACCCCAAAGAACGAGCGTCATCACCGCAGCGTTTCAGGGACAACGTTAACGGGTTAATGTCTGGGGTTCTCACCGGCGTTGACGCCGCCGTAGAAGATGGAGTATATTTCCAAGCTGTGCCGTGGATGGAGTTGATAAGGTTGTGAACCGCCGAGAGTTGCCGCTTCTTTTCCAGCAGATCCCGATGTTCTTGTAATCCTTTCACAAACATATCAGTATCTCTTTCAATCGAATAATTACGCCGGCGTCTCACGTAGATACCGAGGACGCCAATAACCCCGATGCCATACACCAACACCACGGCGACAGTGAACTTCATGGCGCCCTGATAATCATACACTGCTGTGGTTGGCTCAGGGCATGTGTACCCTGTCGTTGTCTGTGATTGACTCCCTGTCACCGAGACACTCATATTCCGTGATGTTCCCGTTGTGTTGTGTACAGTCATATTTGATTCCAAGTCTTCTTCATTCATATACTCGATGTTACACATGCACAGCCCATGAAACACAATTTACTCCAAATGAAGGAAATATGCCTCCCCAGTGCGTGTTCCTTCACGTAATGCATCATGCAAGCATTAGTCATATTCAAAACCGATTACGCTGAGCTTATGGAGGTCTTACGAGGTTTATATCAGCGCCACACACACACACACCCACTGATCAGGCAATAGATCCTAGTATAACCATTCACTCAACTAGGAGACAAACAATCACGGGTCACGTGGTATGTGTTGGTGACAGCTGGTTAACCAGGAGAATAAGTCTGCACACCAACATAGTCCCTCCGATCGCATTACATTGCTATGTTCACTACAATAGGTGTATACGTCACCCTGTAGATAACATCAATGTAAGGGTTGTGTAACAAAGTGTAACTGTAAGAAGGTGTGCAACATGGTATAATACATGATTTCCCACTGTTTGAATAACTTTCTGCAGCGTAGTGTCGGGTTAAAAATGGCGTTACCTCTGTGGTTAACTGCTAGGCAAAAGAAAGTATACAGCCATGTTTGATGGTGGCTATCAGTGAAACAAATATGACATGAAAACTTTGAAAGGCATTAGAAGTGAAACAAATAAGGAAGAGAATTTATTATGTGTCATAAAAGGGATGTTGACATCTATAAATTCTCTTCCTTAAATATGACATGGTTATTCGTTGGTGATGTATACGGGTATCATAGTTGTGTTGCCAGTGTTAGGGAGACTGCGTTCTTCGTATTTTCATGTGTCAACTTTCTGTTTCCAGTGAGTTATTCATTTTGAAACGGTTATGTTACAATATACACTCTGTCTACCTGAACTGTGTTTATTTGTGAAATTGTCTTCCATTTGTCCTTAACTACGGTAAGCTGGAAGTCTATACTGTTGTGTAGTTCATCAAGGTAAGTACTGACCAGTGCTTAACTGCGGTAAGCTGGAAGTATATATTGTTGTGTAGTTCATCAAGGTAAGTGCTGACCAGTGCTTAAGTTTAACAAGGGAACGTGGTCCTGAACTTTTCCATCAGACATAACAATATCGACGCTCTGGTCGCATTTGTGTTTCAATCAGTTTGATAGGTGAAGGGTCACTTGCAGTTAATTATCACTGATCATTTGGAAGCCTAATCGGTTGTTCAGTTGTAATATTTGATTGACAAGTGTTTTTATACAGGCAGATATCTAATTACAAAAATCCCCTTAAAGCAATGGACCAGTTCTTTTCGAGAGGGTAAAACAATGTTCACTGTAGGATCTGAGACACCTATACTAAGCAACAATACCTCGACATAACCTTTAAGTTGTTAAATATAGTGTGCAGTAAGATATTCTTTTAATAGATAACTGGAATGGGATTATTAACCAATTGGGTTCATCACCACCCATTATTCTTCCGAAAAAAATTACTATTGTTTTTTTGTAACTTTTTTGTAAGTACTGAAAACGTTCTGAGCGTTTACTTCAAATGCTTTTTACTAGTTCATAGTCAGCTAAAACTTATACCTTCTATCTTATTTCAAAGAAACAAATACAATTCCGCTGTTAAATACAGCATAAACATAAGCGAGGATAGTTAATCGTGTATCAAAATATTTCGAATTGTCTGTGTGGGTACATGCTAATGATCGCCACTCGCAGTCCAAGGTACGTGTAGCTGGTAATAATGTCAGGTCTGATCATCCTTGAATTTGCACATGCGGTAAATTGTAAAGAGGCAGTTTGTCAATGGCATGCTTTTCTCTCATCGAGGGAAGGTTGTGTTTGTCGCAACGAAATCAATGAAACCTGTGTGATGCAGTACTGATAGCGAAAGGAACGTTGTCTAGCAGTGCGAGGGCGCACCAATATGTGGCGGCATCTAATCGTGGCTCTGTCTCTTCAAATCGAAATATAATCATCTTTATTAAACACTGTTGCTTGGGAATTTCGCATGTTCGCGGTCAACCGAGATCACCTCGACTGAACAGAATGACACATGTTATCGCTTGCCGGCGACCGCAAAATTGATGTAACGCCATTGGCCGTCAACAAGGAGTTGTCATTTGGAGTATTCTCCCCTGCTTATGGAGTCGATTCTCGTTGAGTTGAGACTGAGACAAATGTGTCTACTTATCCCGTTTGGTTGAAACATATTTGATTGCCACAAACGTATTATCGGGAAAGGGTCGGGAAAGAATGGCTCACTTCCATGCCTTTCTCCTTCAAACATTGTTCAATTAAAATATACATATATTTATATACATACATATACATACACAAAAGTATATGTATTTTATATGAACAGTGACGCATTGTGATATAAGTACATATTTACATACATTATTCCATACATAAATGATGTACATACATGTGATACAATAAGATATAAGTACACAATCATAATCAATCAACTTGTATGTACTGAAGCAGGGGCCTGAGAAAATATTTTGTTTGTATTCTCAACAAAACAGAGAGAGAGGGAGATAGGGAGAGAGAGAGAGAGAGAGAGAGAGAGGGGGGGGGGGGGGGGGGGGTCTACTGACGTACGGCGTTGATTCTAACCATTACAAATTAACAGATGTAGTGAGCAATACTGCCGTTACAACCACCATGACTGTACTAACAGATGCAGAAGACGCCTACGCCTACGCTTCATATATATATATATATATTTGATTTGTTATCGATTCTTTACAACATCTGTAACATTTACTCGAGACATCTGAGGACTGATAGCAGATTAAGAATATGTCTCTGCGGATTTTGCAAAATCCGTACAAGGATCCTACTTTTTGTTTTACAAATAAGGATACGTCTAATCAGAAGTTATGAAAAGTGACTTTGGTTATCGAAAGTGACAGCTGGTATTTAAATAATCAGAAAAGAACAGTTCTAATCTGTAAATAATCAGTGTTGATTATTCACAAGGAATAAAAGCTGTCCTGACTGAATAGGATTAGACACTACTTTCCGCCACAAGAGGGCGTTTTTTCTATGCCTGTCATGGCTCATTTCATCAAATACAACGCCTTGACACGCATACGAAGAAGAAGCAGAAGAAGAAGAAAGAAGAAAATTGTTTTATTAGAGTGTCACATGCTGCAGTACAAAATATATAGACATATAAATATTTCATAAAAAAACAGCACCCGGCCAGTTGGCCTACGAGACACTAATTACATAATGGTACATTTAAAATATAAAAGAGAAAAAAAAAGAAAAGAAAAAAAAACAGAAAAAGAAAAAAGAAAAGAAAAATTAGTTATAACTTTGTATATTACCACACCCACACCCACACCCACACCCACACCCACACCCATACACCCACACCCACATCCGCATTAAAATCCCGCTCCAAAACATATTCTAAGCATACAAACAGGTAAGCATACAGGACGCTCACAGCAATCTCATACAAAATACTCACAGCAATCTCATGCAGAACATTCACAGCAGTCTCATACAAAACACTCTCAGCAATCTCATACAAAACACTCACAGCAATCTCATACAAAACACTCACAGCAGTCTCATACAGAACACTCACAGCAATCTCATACAGAACACTCACAACAATCTCATACATATGCATGTCATACATCTATACACATATGCGTCCACATACACACATAACTTAATTCATCAATCGTGTATACTAACCTACAATGTATAACCAGCATATATACTAACATACCAACCTACATACATACCTATATCCATCAAACATAAATCAATCCGTATTATACATACACAGGTCCATCCATACCTATGTCCGTTCAAACACACCTCAATCCAAATATACTAACACACATACAACCATACATCCATACCTATATCCGTTCAAACACACCTCAATCTAAATATACTAACACACATACAACCATACATCCATACCTATATCCATCCATACACATATCGATCCATATATACATACACACATACAACCATACCTATATCCATCCATTCACACATCAGTCCATAAATACATACACACATACAACCATACCTATATCCATCCATACACACATCAATCCATAAATACATACACACATACAACCATACCTATATCCATCCATACACACATCAATCCATATATACATACACACATACAACCATACAAGAGTCGTACTGAATACAATATGAACATACATTAAATACAACAAATAATATAAATGAGTGGCACTGTATACTAACGTACATAAACACACCCACACACACACCTACGTACATATATTAGACAATGCATAACATTATGAATGGGATAAAAATTAAATAAAAGCTAACAGTTTATATAAAGTTTACGGCGCCTGTACATTCTGTAGACAAGGGTGGCTAGGGATTTACTTATACATGGAGTATTCATTAAATAGCAGGTCTGTTGCAGTAGGGAAAAGGTCGGGAAGGAGGCAATATAATTCCATAAATCATATCTTAAATCAGAATAAAAGTTACATTCAGTTAAAAAGTGGATTTCATCTTCGATTGCTTAAGAGTCACACATTTTACAGATCCTTTCTTCCAAGGGGACAGTCGGTCGTGAACATCTCCCGGTCTCTATTTCAAGAGGTAAAGTTCCTGTACGTACTTTACATACGCAACAGGACAATTTCAGCAATGACCCTATCAATCGGTTTTATGAACATATTTTTGCAGATGAAGTGTAAATTCAAAAAAAGAATATCTTCCTTTATTTCGAGAATTGAATAAGCAACAATAATTAATTTGTTCAATAATTTATGGATTTCTTTGTTGACGGTACACTCTGTGTAGGCGCGCATGAATTTATTCCGAATGCGTCACGGACTATTTTGACTTTGGCTTGATCAATCTGTTTTAATGATAACAAAAAAGCAATTTATTTTCGAATCAAGAATATAACAAAAGAAAAGGTATGTTCGTTCAATATGAAATTTTATCAATTATTTAGCAACAAATATTAAGTTTTGCAGCAGGTTCACCCTGTTAGGGTTATAGAGAAAACGTCCGCCCGCGAAAGTGGCCGCCGCGTAAGAGGAAACGTCCTTTGAACTTAGAGAAAACGTCCTCTGGTCATAAAATGAAAAAATACTTTGAGTCTTTAACAATTAATTATATAACAACATAATCATAACACTTCGCAATTTTCTTAATAACATTTTGCACTTTGTCTTAATAAAAGTTTGCACTTCGACAGTAGTGCACCAGCTGTGATATCATTGTTCTTGTAGAGTCGCCACGCAGCCAATATTTCTTCTTGTTTGTGAGTGGCGGTCTTTGTCGCGTGGCTTGTCAACTTTCTTTCCTGCAGCATTGTGGCCTT